TGTGGACAACCAGAATTGTGACAGGAATCCTGAGCAGTGTTCAGAGCACGTAAGCCCTTCGTGCTATTTGAATACTTTGAATAGTGGACATTTTGAGAGTTTTGTGATGCGTGTATCTAGCGTTAGTGCACTGCGTCTGCGTTGATCTCGCCATGCTCAAAAGCAGCGATTACAGGACGTTCTGGAGGGGTTGGAGAGGAGACAAGAAACTACCTCTTCGTGTGGCGCATATAGTTCCCCGATATGCTCCCTCTTTATTTTCGCCTCCTTTACCATGCGCGTGACAGGGACTGGCACATAGCTCAATTAAAGCTCGGAAGCGCGTGGCTCACTTGAGACTTGAACGCAAGAGTCGAGCTCAGCCTTACCGAGAAGTTCCTCCTGAAGGTGGGATCGGCTGTGCTCTCTCAACCCGAAGTTCTCCTTCAACCTATTCGCGTCCAACATGTTCTCTTACTGTCGTCTGCCTCTTGGACTTCTGCACTGCATAGAGCGAGGAAGTTCGTTTTTCTGTGTTTTTGACCACATTTCTTCCTTTTTTCGCCAACTGTGGTCCATCTTGCATCTGCACTTTCGTATTCGAGTGCGATTGCCGCACCAGATCGAACTTGGCTCTTGCCTCTGAAGCTCACGATAAAAATGGGTGCTCATGAAGAAGAAAGATGGATAGTGGAGAGAGTATATGAGGGTCCCCTCAGACTATATGTGGCACTTTGGTGGCAGAAGGAGCCCTAGCAGCAAAGTAGATGCGAAAAAGTGTAACACGGAATCCAGACGTCGCCCCTAACTTGTCGCGTGCTTTCCTTCTCAGGAGTGCCCTTCATCGAACCGCCTCACCTTGAAATCCTATTAATTGAAGGCACCATGCTATATCATATTTTTGCAATATCTCATGTGAATATTTGACCATTATCACCTGTATCACCTGTTGTCTCGCTGAAAAGCAGGCGCTAGCAACATCTCTATTCGTCCCTGTCGTTGTGGTATAGTCGATCCTAATCGCTAGAGGGAGCGCAGTTCTCTTCCCTTTCGTTCAGGGCTTTTGTAAAGAAGTCTAAAGAAGTCTGGTCATCAAGCCGGCGGTCGTCCAGGTATTCACTGGCGTCCGAAGGGTAAGTGACCGCTCATCACAAAGTCGCATGATGTGTCCGGCCCACGTGATCTTCGACAGGGCGAAACAGGCAGCGTTCCCTGATCTTCGATCGTTGGCGTAGTTCCGGACTCCGGATTCCCCTCTGCACTTGCGTGTATAGGGTTACTCCTAGCATCGTCCTCTCGACAGCGCGTTGGATAACGCTGACCGCATGCTCGTCGCTGCCTGCGCAGAGTCCAAGTCTTTGTGGTTTAACTTAGGGGAAGAATGGCTCTGCTTAGCTCTGGAGCTAGCTCGTTCATCATGTTGACCTTCTGACCTAGGTTGAAGCATGACGTTCTCGAGAATGTTATGCCTCAACTAGAGCCATCCCGACAAGACTGCTGTTCCTTTTCAGTCTCCCCTGGAAGAAAGATTTTCAGGTAGCTCACGAAGTGATACAATCCTACTGGTCATCAAGCAATGGTCAATTGCCAAAAGCAGTCCCTTACTGTGGTTTCACTGGATCCGAATGCGACTACACAACATATTTCGTCCTTCTCGGTGTTATGGTCTTCTTGGCTACCATTTCGCCACTTTCCTATTTCATTTACATAAAACAGTGAGTGCTAAAAAGCATTTTCGAATATTCCTATTCAAGTTTCTTCATTCAGAAAAGAACGGTTGCTTTATGACATGACATGGCGTATCCCCAGGGATAGCATACAGCTAGTGGAGGGCAATAAATCGGTACGTTTTTTGTTACAGTGAAACTGTGTCTTCGATAAAATTACTACATTGCGTTAGAGTTTTTGTAACCAAAGAAAAGCTGAATTACAAGCACAAGAAGCGGTCACCTCGATGGATTGAGAATTTAGAAGGACAAAAGTTCGAGTAGGAAAATGGGTAATGGCAGTCCACGCAATAGCTTTTTAACACATTGACGACAGCGCGCGTTTTGGTTTTTTTGGCCACGTGGGACAGGGACGATCTTGCGAGCGCGGCCGCCGCACCTAGCAATCGTAAATATTGAATGATAACTCTGGAAAGCATCACTGGTACAAAACCATTTCAGCAATATTCAATGCGTAGAAGGTAATCGAGGATGTAGTGGCTCCCGATCAAAAGAACGTGTAATGGTAATGAAAAGGGAAACTTCAGTCATTTTATCTGTAGTGGATGCCAAAAGCTATTTTTGATGTGGATGTACCAAGTGAAACATATATTTTTTCTATCCCTTTAGTTTGTATTTACTTTCACTACCCTTTTCACTGACATGTTCATGAGAATAGGAAGAAAACGAGGAATGAACCGAGCTGCCAATTCCGCTGTGCTTAAAAAACTTCTGCTAAACTGGAGCATATTTGATCATACCGTGACCCATGTCGTTTACAGTTATGTTATGTTGTAATCCATAGAATAGAGACAAGCAAATTGGGAAGAATCCCCGCATGCGCTAGAAAAAGGGATGACAAGGGTGAGACGCGTAACCGCGTCTCAATGTCGTCAATGTGTTAACAACATTTTTCTCGCTGCAGCGTGTCAGCAGATCGCCTATTGAAAGAGGAAGTGCAGCGTGTAGCAGATCGCCTATTGAAAGAGGAAGTCACGATTAATCGAATTTGAAAGAAAGGGAGGTAGCCCACTATAAAAACGTAAGGTAAAGCTCCCAAGGGAACGAGTAGATACATGTAACGCGGCAGAGGGTGCGGCCATCACCACGAGCACCCTGGCAAGCGCTGCCTGCATTGGCGCGGTCCGCCTCCTACAGGAGGGTCGGGCTGTGATTGGTTGAATGTCGGCACTGTTTTGCCATACTTTCCCCTTGATTCTGAAAGGGCATCGCATGTTAAACGGAAGTATCTTTGAGTTTTTCAGGTGGTCCATTATCATTGAAAGGATATTGTCATTTGCATTGCTGCAGCTATCGGGATTAGCACGTATAAGTAAGCTCGGACTCGACCGAGGCGACAACCAACGCAAAAAGGGGTTCAATTTCCGTCATTCCCTCCCAGGTTTTTTTTGGACCAATGGAGACCCTACCCCTCCCCCCTATTGTTAGCTCCATTGTACAACCATTTTTCGTAACATGCGCCTGAACTTCACAACAAAAACTTCATCATTGCTAGGCGTAATGTATATAATCCTCTCAGGTATTCCCCAATTTTGAATTCATTGTAAGGTGTTATAACTTAAAAGATTTCAAGTTTCAAAAATCCGGTGAGGACTGTTAACTCTGACTTCAGAAAAAAATGGACTGTTAATTCCCGATTTTTCAAGTCTGTATACAAACTTGACGACAACAGAAGCAAGCGTACGAGCTCAGCTAGTAACTTCGTCTTTTCATATGTTTTTAGCCAAGACTAGTCGGTGTCGTGGGATACCAGGGAACCATTTGTTCAAATAAAGTGATGTCTTCCTTCTTCAGAGATCTGAACGCTCTCTGGCAAGCGTATCACAAAGTTCCGGTTCATTTTCTGGTAGTCTGGGCTCGAAACAGCTGCTTTCGGCCAATCAAGCCTTGTCGAATGGTGTCCGCATAGCGATTAAACGCTTCCAGCAAATGCGAAATATCACTTTCCCAAAGTCGGAACTCAAATTGCTCAAAGGAGGTGGTT